ACTATGACTTTTGGTGTAACTTGTATTTAAAACTATTTTATGTACACACATGTAAAAAATTAGTGTTAGCATTACATACGCCATTGTTAATTGGGTATGAAACTCTATATTGACACAAAAAAAATGAAATAAAACTTAATGTTAATTTCAAAATTGCTAAAATTATCGTACACGTGTAGATCGCTGATATTGAATTTGGGTTAGTACATAAATTTAAACATTCAGCCTTCTCCATAAAGTCTCGCTAATGCTAAAAGTGGTCTGCTACATATTTAAAATTTTTGAAATCATTATTCATTAAGCGACTATAATTGCTCTTGTTATGCAAATGTAATTGCCTGTCCAGGCAGATCGAAAAAGATAATACGTGTGCACCTGTTTGTGTAAGTTGCCGCATTTTATATTTGGTGACCTTACTATTAAATAATTTAACTATTAATTTAACTAGTATTACTTTGGCAAAACTGGCAATTATTTTAGGTTCATCTAAAAGCATGAACATTCTTTCGTCTACGTTCACTTTCGCATAAATATTAAATGCATAAATGTATAATGCATAAATGTATAATGCATAAATGTATTAGAACATTCTCAAATAATAGATTTTAACGATAATTTAACTCGTTATAGCCAAATAAAAACTATGATTTTGCAAGACTGGCGATTATTTATTGCTAAATAAATTTATAAGAGTTAGAGGACACACCCGTAAAGTTTGGCCATCAGTCGTCACCAAATGAAAAATAAATGCATACATATCCGCTCTCTGATAATAACGTCCCTTTTTACTATATATTTATGTCTATCTGCATCAATATTTTATCAGAAACGTACTGTAATACTTGTATATTATCGCATAATTTCCTTTATGCAATCGGTTTTGATCAGTTCCTCGTTCCTCCTCCTCCCAAGTTCATCAACATTATTCCTTCGCCTATTTTCAGTCTCGTAGACACATTAAATGAAATATTGCATAAATGTATTACAAAATTCTCAAATAATAAGCTGCCATATTTAATTTTTGGTGACCTTATATTAAGTTAGTTAGCTGGCTAAAGCGAAATAAAAACTATGGCTTTGGTAAAACTGGCAATTATTTATTCATAATACTCGCAATGGATACGCAGACCATGTTCAACCCAGATAATTTTTGGACCATGAAAGTTTGAAAGAGCAACTCTTTAGAAATAAAATTTACTGCAGTACTTGTACGGATGCAAAAAGTTCAGCGAATTTTGGGCGCCGCAAACGCTCGGTTTTCCAGGGGATTTTGTGCCTTGCGGTAGCAGTTGCGCGTTTTCGCGAGATGCGGCGCCCAAAATTTGATTAATTTGTCGCATCCGTGCAAAGTGCTGCAATAAATTGTATTTCTAAAGAGTTATACTCTTTAAAACTAGCATGGACAAAAATGCTCTGAACATGGTTTGCGTCCCTATTTATTGCCAGTTTTGAGCAATTCCTAAGTTCATAAAAATCAACATTATTTCGTCTACTTTCACTTTATCGCCGATGCACTACAGCATTCTCAATCTGTCCCAAAATGATTTCGAAAGAGGCCCAACGCCTGACACGGGTCGTCTTCAAATATTCATCTCTCCTAAAATTTACGCCATGGTTGTTCGACGAGAAAACATGCGTACTACGTCGCGAAAAATCCTTGCTCCCGTTTCACTTGAACATGGCGATTTTCTTGTTGTACAATACATTTCTAATTGTCCAGCTTCGTACCACTTTGGGACAACGAGATCCTCTCGCATTTATTCGAACGGTCATTCAAATAATTGCGATTTCTGCGTCCACAATGATTTCATCCGTTTCCTGTGAAATAGTATTGACCAAAGATGAAATCATGGAACACTACAATACTGCGTTTTCATACCACAAAAAGTTTGCACGTGAGTGACCATGCATAATAAACAGAGGGCGGATATGTTTTTATTTATGAAAAATTGTTGAATAAGTATTTATTTGATATTTGAAAAAAACGCAAAAATATTTACTTACGAAATATTTACGAAAAAATAATTTTCGCAAAATTTACATTGAAAAATCGCTAAAGTATAGTTTTAATATTTACGAAAAAACGCAAAAATATTTACAAATATGTATGCGAAAAACAAAAATAAGAATTTTCGGAAAATTTGTAGTTTTGAATTTAATACTCTGGATTTTTCGTGCGGTCCCTTCACTTCCCTTGAGGAAAAAAAATTCGCCTCACATCGTTAAAATTTTACAAAATGAATGTACTTAAAAAAACGTGTACAAAAATTATGCATTTTTGAAATAATAGAGGAAATATTTATGCATATTTCTGAAAACCTAGAAATATGTAAAGTAGAAGTAGAAATACTAAAATAGTTTGTAGTTTTGCGATTTATAAGAGTTATAGGACACACGCAAAAAATTTGACCGTCATTCGTCATCAAATGAAAAAGTTGAAAATAAATACATACATATCCGCCCTCTGATAATAAACCAAGAAGCATCTTATTGTAATTTGCATAAATATTTTACCAGAAACGTACTGCCATCGAAAAATATTACGGGATGGAAATTTCAAATATGGATTTGAAATCTGGATGAAGCTGTTCCTCTACAGCATGAATTTTTTGATGGGATTCGTTTGTCCGATTTTCGCAGTTACGGGCAAACGTTTGAATATATTTCTGAGTTCTGTGTTCATCAATTATCTCAAGTCTGGGGGGCTGGGGCCAAACATGTTCCTCTTCTTCCTGACATTGGCACACATGCGAATCTTTTTATTCGGAAGTTTCATCGCTCTAAATTGCACCTTCTTATTCATTCCACAGTTGTGTCAAACGATTGTCGTACTTGGCGAAATAAGGTAAAAAAAATGTTATGATAACCATACGTCGGATATTTATTTATTCTTGACTTTTCCATTTGATGACGACGGACCGTCAAACTTTGTGGGTATGTTTCCTAACTCGCATAGATCACAAAAATTTCGGAATATTTTTACATATTGGAACGTATTTATTTCTAGGTTTTAAATATTTCCACTATTATTTCAAAAATACTTGAATCTTTTCCGTATTTTTTCGAAAATGCATACATGTTGTAGATATTTTTTCAATATTTGAACGATGTGAGACGACAATTTGCTCAAAGAAATTGGACCACAAGAAATTCAGAAAAGTACAAATTTTGCGAAACTTCTTATTTTTATGGTTTTTTCGTACATATTTTTAAAAAAATTTGGCATTTTTTCGTAAAAATTTATAATTTCGTAAAATTCGTATTGAATACTTATTCAGCCAGTATTTGTCTTCGAAAATTTTTATTTTCTGCATACCTATTTGTAAATATGTATATATTTTGGCGATTTTCGTAAATATTAAATACAAATATATATTTCAACGGTTTTTCATAAATACATATCCGCCCTCTGATGATCACATATTTGGGTGAAAAAAATACCTAGTTTTAATAGTTTGCATTTAATTTGCAGACCTCACTTTCACTCAAAACTGACCAAATCTCCTGCTCGGAAACCCGTCAATGTTGTCCGAATCCTTCGAGCGATTGCACTCCTTCAGCAACAATGTAATGCAATCATCAAACGGAACATTGTCCCCAGCTCGTTGACCTTGATGATGGGGATGAGCGTCTTTTGCAACTATGCCGTCATCACGGCTCGCCTCAACATAACGACGCGCTTATCCAGCATACTTATCGGGAAATTTATCGGCGTCATGATATCCTTCATGTGCACGATATTCATCATCTTCGAGTGCAATATTACCAGCAGGGTGGCAATCTCGTACCAGAGAACGCTTCGAGCATGGAAGATTTCTCGAATTTCTCGCTATCATAAAAAAATTCTGAAGTCCCTTCGACCCCAGGGGGTCTAAATTGCGTCATTTCAGACGATCGGGCGAATGACCACGTTACATTTGGTTATGGCCATGATCAAATATACGGGAAAGTTGCTGATATATTTTAAGAGTAAACATCACGTATATAATTGACAAGGAAATCAAGATAAACCGCAGAGGTGGACAAATACTTTGTTAAAAAAGAGCATTTTTGAGCTCCGTTCTTCCCAGGGTTAGGATTTCCAGGGGCTCAAGCGATTAAGTTGGCACATTCTTAGTAACTTGCTAAAATAAGTAAATTTTTAATTAACTAATCAATTTTGTAATTTAATAAATGTTGGAAATTTCGTTTCCAAATTAAGTACCTGAATTTATAAGGAAACTTTGAAATAAATTGAACTATTTTGTGATACATACATGGCAAGATTTATTTCCCTTTTACATGAAAATAATAATTTCGTTACATTCGATATTAAAATAATTCACCCCAATAATTGTAATAGTCTTTTAACTGACCTAATATTATTTTAAGATATCATAAATAAAGTAGGATAAGATGAGCAGTCTTACTTTGATAAGTATTTCTTCATACAGAAAAAAATCATGACAAGCATCTCGATAAGCATTTAGTGATCATAACTCGTTTAATTTTACGTCACACCATCGCCCTCCGAGGTCACTGAGGAGGGATGATGGTTGACAAGTAGTATGTAAGTTCACCGGCAGGGAAAGGCGTATTTTGAAGCAAAAAGCATAGAACAAAGTAAAAAACTCCTTCTTCCATGCACACGCGCGCCACCACCAACCCTCAGTGTTGGTTCATACGCGGCAGAGGAAGGCAGCTCACGTTTTCGCTCTCTCCATCCAAAATGGCTTCCAGTAAAGAAGAAAATTCGGAAATTATAGGAAATTCACAAAAACGGGTAAGATATTTGTGTTTATTTTTCCTCCGCCGCGTCGCGCAAACGCTAGGTTTTTCGATTAGTGAAAATTTTATTAATGCGCTGCATTAATTTATATTGTTTGATTAATTAAATAGAAAAATTGGAGAGGAAGATTCTCCAGAGAAAAAGAAACCAAAAAATGAAAAAATTGGCCTAAGATCACTGTCGCAAACAGTGCATCAAAATTCCGAAAATATTTCTAAGCTCGTTGAGTTTTTTGAAAACATGATTGGCCAGTCGCAGGCGCAGCCTCGACAAAATAATACCTGCCACGTAGTGGATGTTGGTAATGAGGATGATCCAATAACAGATCTTTTTACCTCAATTGTTGATAAATCGCCAAATGGTGAGTACAAAATGAAATGAATTTCATTATTTAAAAATTGGGAATATTCTAAACATTGAAAAAATTATGATTTAAATCATAATAGATGAATCTGCTGATCAAAATATTGAGATTGAAAATCCAATTGTTGAAGAAATATTGAATTCAAATCAGTCGGAGGATGAATATGGCCCTCCTTTAGGATTGAAAGTAGCAGCAGCATTCAAACGATTAATTGCTCAGCCAGCTTCAAAAGAACACATTGATCAAAACAAGATCAAATTAAAGATCCCAGAAAACATTAAAGAAATGAGGGCACCCAAAGTCAATTGTGAAATTTGGACTCAACTTCCTAAAAAAGCTCAAGTTATTGATGCATCACAACAATTTGTTCAACAATTTGTTTCAAGAGGTTTAGTAGCCCAGTCACATCTTGCTGAAATTTTAGCAAAAAATTCAGATAAGATTCCCAATGATTTATTGAAAAGTTTACTTTCTTGTTCAATGGAAGCCGCAACAGAATTTGGTATGGCTTTTAGAGAAATTAGCCTCAGGCGACGACAACAAATTAAACCCTTTTTGTCAATCGAAAGTGCTGGAATTTGTGGATCTTCCGTTCCGGTCACAGAAAACTTATTCGGAAATAATTTAGAAAAAAATTTGATTGCTGTCCGAACATCGGCCAAAATTGTGAAGAATTTGACCCCCATCTATCGTGGAGGTGCTCGTGGAACTTATGCAAGAGGTTCATTTAATCGAGGGTCGTTGTCTAATGCTGGTACTAGCCATAATTTAAACTTCCGGGCGCCTCTCCTCTCGAGGGGAGGCAGACGACCATTCAACCGAGGAAGATACAACAATTACCGCCCGCAGAATTAAATGTGAGTAAATTATCAGGTAGATTAAGATTATATTATGATAAATGGGCGAATTTGACTGACGACCCTGTTATTGTTGAAATTGTTCGGGGTTACAAACTACCTTTTAAGAATTTACCAGAGCCACAAATTAATTGTAAGGTTCAAGAATTTAATCCGGAAGAAAAGCTATTTATTATCGATGAATTGGACCGCCTAATGAAAATGGTGGCAATATCTCTATCTGAAGAGGAAAGTGATCAATTTGTATCTCCAATCTTTACTGTCCCTAAACCTGATGGAAAAAGACGATTCATCTTGAATCTTAAGAAACTGAATAGCTATTTACACTGTCCACATTTTAAAATGGAAGATTACCGAAGCGTATTGAATATTATGAGATTAAACATGTTTATGGCCACAATAGATTTACAGGATGCGTATTTCCACGTTCCTGTTCATGACAGTTGTAAAAAATACCAGTTTTCGAGAAACTTAGAACATTAGGCTATCAGTCCGTGAGATATTTGGACGATTTTTTGTTATTCGGTCAAACATTTGAATTATGCAGCGAGAATGTTCAGGCCACCCAAAATTTACTCAAAAGTTTGGGGTTTACCGTAAATTATCAAAAATCGGAATTACTTCCAAGTAAAGTAATTAAATATTTAGGATTTATTTTTAATTCCTTAGAAATGACCATTCAATTAACTCCGAACAAGCGTTCTTTAATTTTTGAATTTGCACAAAAATGTTTGTTATCTAAATCTCTAATTATAAGAGAGGCAGCTAAATTGCAAGGATATTTAATTTCAGCGTGTCCTGCAGTACAATATGGATTATTGTATACTCGGAAATTAGCTTCCGATATTCAATTCTCTTTAGAATCAAATAATGATAATTATCAAAATCGTATGACTTTGTCTCAAGAAGCAGTTTCGGATATTCACTGGTGGCAATCAGTAATACATAAAGCTGAGGTTTCCATAAAAGAGGACAGTTTTAAAAAAGTGATTCACACTGATGCGTCACCTTTTGGGTGGGGCTGTTTTTGTGACAATGACGTTTCTCACGGCACTTGGTCAAAATCTGAAGAGTTATTACATATTAATGCGTTGGAACTGTTAGCAATTGAGCGAGCAATGACTATATTTGCAAACGATGAAGGAAATTGTAATATTTTGTTAAAAGTTGACAGTCAAGTTGCAATCTCGTATATAAACTGTTATGGTGGTTGCCGCTCAGAATTGTTGCATGCAATTGCTAAAAGAATCTGGCTATTTTGCGAGAAGAAAGATATTTTTATTAAAGCTACATATTTAGAAAGTAAGAAAAATGTAGAAGCTGATTTTGCTTCTCGTATTGAAGTAGTTAATTCGGATTGGATGCTAAAAAGTGTCATTTTATCGCAATTTGTAATTCATTTGGCGAGCCAGCTTTAGATTTATTTGCGTCAAAGAACACAAATCAGTGTTCGAGATTTTATTCGTATTCTCCTGATCGGAACTCGGAAGGGGTTGATGCATTTACGTTTAAATGGTCAGAATCCTTGTTATATGCGTTTCCCCCATTTTGTCTAATTTCACGTGTCCTGAAAAAGATTTGCAATGATAAATGTAGATGCATTGTGGTGGTGCCACTTTGGAAAAGTCAGGTTTGGTATCCAGAATTTGAGAGGATGCGTCAGTCAAATTCGCTTATATTTGGACCTGAAAAAGATTTGCTAACTTCACCTTTTTCGAATAGGCACCACCCTCTTCACTCCAGCCTCAAATTAGTAGCAGCAATATTGCAAGACGTTCATTCATAAACAGTGGCCTTAGTTCAGATGTTTGCGAACTTTTACTTTCATCCTGTGCGTCATCCAGTTGGAAACAATACGAATCGTACTTGAAACGATGGGAAAATTTTTGTAATAATTATGGTTCAGACATATTTCATTCTAATTTACAATCGATTCTGAAATTTTTGACCGCTTTGTATAAGGATGGCGTAGGCTATAGCGGTATTAACACAGCAAGATCAGCTCTGTCTTTAATTATAGCCCCCATTGACGGTGTTGACGTTGGTAAACACCCTCTTGTAATTCGATTACTAAAAGCTGTTAGCAAATTACGGCCACCGAAACCAAGATATGATAATGTGTGGGATGTAAATTTAGTTTTGGATATGTTCACTTCATGGCCGTTAAATTCAGAGCTGCCTATATTTAGGTTAACCATAAAATTGGTAGCGTTACTCGCTTTGGTCACGGGACAAAGGGTACAAACCCTGTCGTTAATTAATATAAATAATATCATAAGGTCAAGTAATGTTCAGATTCTTATTCCTGAAATTATTAAAACTTCTGGGGTTGCGAAGAAGCAACCGTGCTTGTTATTGGTCCCTTATAAAGTTAATGATAAGTTATGTGTTGTTAAATGCTTAGATGAATACTTAAATCGTACTGCTAGTTATCGTAATTCTGATGAATTATTAATTAGTGTAGTTCTACCATATAAGCCTGTTACAAGCCAGACTATTAGTAGATGGCTAAAAGAATGTTTGTCATTAGCTGGTATTGATGTTTCCATTTTTAAGGCTCACAGTTTCCGTCACGCTAGCACAAGTAAGGCGGTAGCAAAGGGGGCCAGCTTAGATGTTTTTTCTAGAGCTGGTTGGTCTGATAAATCTAAAACATTTGCAAAGTTCTACAATAAGCCATTAGATTTACGAGGTGAATTTTCGAATGCTGTATTATCATAATTAAGAGTTACAAATAAATTCGTATATGTATTTGTACTTATCTATGTATATATATTTTTCACTCGTCAAAGTTTCTTTGAACGGCTACTTGTCAACCATCATCCCTCCTCAGTGACCTCGTTCGGGCTCTGGTGATCGTAAAATTACGATCAATTTCTCACCTTACAGGTAAGTCTCGATTAATCGTCAATTTCTCGCCAACTCGAGAAAACAAACACTTGTCCAGGTTATCCCGGATAATTTATCCTTCACTTCGGCGAGATAAATATGTATGCGAAAGGTTGACGTGTATGTTTAACTAGAGGTACTTATGTACATACATGTGCAGACTAAATGGTAATTATTGGTATTTAATTAAATTAAGAAATGCTGTATTAAGTGTGAATTACTACTAATCTAATCCTACCATACAAATTCCATTAATTAGAGTATTTAAATTTAGGGTATAAGGTGACTAATACTATTTTTTAAATTTCCGATTCGTAAGGAATTTGGTTTGGATTCTAATTTTAATAATTCCCTAATTATACTAAATTTCAAACTCGGATTTTGAAAGCACTACTATAAAGTAATTGTTGTGCCCTAACTGTACTTGCTATTAAATTGCGAGTTTTTGAAAAAGTTCAATATTTCTTGAACACAATGGGAATCTTGTTCTCGTGAATGAAGGGTTCAATCCATTTCCATGTTTCTTTCTTGAACTACAAATATTTGTTTAAAAAATTAAGAGTTCAACATAAAATAAACATACAAATTTTAAATACGAGGGGAAATCAATAAGTAGTGCTTATCTACCCTTCAGAGATAAGATAAGAGAATGAAATTCCTTGCATATTATCCTTTTATATCCTGGAGATCGTGTACAGAAAATGAAGGAGATCTGTTATCTCATTCCTTCAAAATGTCTCGACAAAGTCAGACCTCTCAAGCGCAAAATGAATTTAAGCAATTTGAGATTCGTTCTACCATACGCTTTTTTGCACTGCAAGGTGAATCTGCCGTAAAAGTGTTTGAAAATTTGCAAAAAGTTTACGGAGATAGTACTCCTTCATACACAACAGTTTCAAGATGGGTGACACAGTTTAAGTGTGGTCGGCAGAGTGTGGAAGATGAGCCTCGACCCGGTCGCCCAATTGCAGTTACTGACGACTTCATGTGCAGTAAAGTGCAGGAATTCGTAATGAAGGACAGGCGAGTAACAATCAATCAGATAGCAGAGAAGATGGGTATGTCTTTCGGGAGCGTCAGTTTCATTCTACATGAAAAACTCGGATTTTCCAAGCTGTCTGCGAGATGGGTTCCACGCTTGCTTACGCCCGCCCAAAAGCAAAAGAGGGTGGAATCATGTCAAGGTCTACTGCAGCTGTGGAGGGCAGATCCAGAGGATTTCCATAACCAAATTGTAACTGGTGACGAGACTTGGGTTCACCACTATGACCCAGAATCCAAACAGCAATCAATGCAATGGCTGGCAAAAGGTCAAAGTGGTCCCATCAAGGCAAAAGCGTCAAAATCGGCAGGGAAGGTGTTGGCTACAGTTTTCTGGGATTCCAGAGGAGTGTTGCACACGGACTTTCTGCCAAAAGGAAGCACTATGAACGCAAAACATTACGTGGAAGTTTTAGAACGATTGCGTTATAACATCCGGAACAGAAGACGGGGGGCTCTGCAGAAAGGAATTTTCATTCTTCACGACAACGCATCCTCCCACACCGCGAAGATTGTGAAGTCGGCCCTGGATAGGTCGTGGCTGTGGGAAGCTGATCACCCCCCGTATTCTCCAGACCTAGCACCCTGTGACTTTTATCTGTTTCCACATTTGAAGAGAATTCTCAGGGGGAAAAGATTTGATAGTGATAACGAACTAACATCGTTCGTGCAATCTGTGCTTAATGAATTTTCTGAGGAATTTTATTGTGAAGGAATGAAACAATTGAGACGCAGGATGGAGAGGTGTATTGAACTAGGGGGTGATTATGTTGAAAAGCCACAAAACGAATCTGAATAAATTCTTATCTGTATTTAGATAAAATTGAGTTTCCACTATATA